TTGTTCCCTGAATTTCTCCGCCCTTAAAAAGTCGATGACCTCCACTGGGTTTGAACCCGCGTACCACGAGAGGTGGGAACATTACCTCTAGACTACTGAGGCTGCTTATTTCAAAGTGTTAGTTTTATTTTAGCAAATACGTGCTACTAAATATTTCCATATTTCCAACAACCCTTCCAACCCCAGTCTTCACAATACAGGAGAGGGTAACGAAGGGGGATGCCTGTTTGGGCGATGCATAGGACTGCCACAGAAGCTTCAAAGACCCAACAGGAACCTAAACAAATGGATAATGGGGCTTAAGTGAAGCCGCGAGAGGCCCAGCGAGGTAATGGTGCATTCTGACAGCCTTCACACAGATGAAATCAAGGTGGTGCAACCAGACACTGGTGGAAGGTATCAAGAAAAGCTGGCAGGTCATCACAGAGGAAAGATTGTTAGAAGACAGAAGAGACTGGAGAGATTTTAATGATTAATCCACAACAAATGGAAACTATAATAGAAAAACGGGAGGAGGCGGAAGATGATGTGTAACAATATTATTCTGGCTTAGCATTTGGAACCATATGTCAAAATTTTTCTTCTCCTTCAAAATAACATGATTTCTCTCTTCTAAATTTTATTTCTGTTCACTATACAACAGACATAAAACCAAAATTACACAAACTTACAATCACCTTGTGTCAAAGTTTGAAAATGGTGATCAGTTTGTTAAAATATACTCTCAAACATAAACATATGTGATTCTTAATTTTTTTAATTTAGAAGTCAATTTCATGTGCACATATTTTCAGGCACCCTGTGCTAAATGTTATAAATTTAGCAATTTCATTATTTATATATAAAACAGGCAGGTAAAATTAAACATTTACCTCTATTTACTGTATTCTAAATAATAATTAGGTCCTGCACCAAAAAGTTCCATGCTGATTTGTAAGTGGGGGGGGGGGATAAAGCTATCCATGTAACAGGCTGTGAGACATTGAGACTCCCACGTTTTCTAGACAATTGGCTCACAGATGGTGGTAAGGTTGTCAGCCTTACGCCCTGGCTGGCAGTCCTTTACCCACAGAGATTCCTGATACTCATTTCTGTTAGAGGCTGAGTCCAAACCATAAACAATCACAAAGAATATATAAGCCACAGAAATAATGAGAAGTTTAACACCAAAATGAGCTGTGTTCAGACATTCAATATTGGCCTAGCAACTGCTAATTGAGATTGGACGTCCTAAGAGCAGTGAACATGAAGACTATCATCTTCTGAGTTGTCATACCATGTAGTCTGGCACATGTGACGATGTTTTGGAGGAACCAGCTGCCTCCATATTCAGGCTAGAAGAAGCATGAAGATGGAGTAAGTAGGTTCCTTCAGAATGTTGGTACCTATCTATTAAACCATACGATGTCACGTCCTACTATTATCTGTCTACCAGACTACATGGCATCACACCCCAGAAGTCCATAATCTTCAAGCTGTTATTTGATAAAAGGCATTATATTACTAAATGACAAGGCTCAGTGAAACTGACGAGTAAAAGATCCAGCTACTTCCCAATGTTGGCACACACTGTAAACACACGTCTGTTTAATCTTCTCATTTATTTGAAAAGTTTACACTGGGCTATTTAAAAACAATCATATAATTTCAGTATTATATACACTAGACAAGGTACATGTTTTCAGTCATTCTGCATACAGCCGCCACCACCACCGCCACCACCACACGCACATACCCACACACACACAAAGCAAGCCTCTTCATTCAGCAATGTGAAACAGTTAGATAGGAGTACAAAAGCAAGTCAGTTCATGGTCTGATAACAGAACAGCTGTTCACAGAAGTTCAACAATTTCTGGGACAGGGTTTCTTGCAGAGCAGTAAGCATTTAGGCTGGTGCAGCAAAGATTTTTGTAATTGTTAGGTAAAGAGTCCGTCGCTCATTAGGAACTCTGTCACTCTGGTGGTCTGTTCCACTTCTATAAATGTACTTGCTTCTTCATGAACATAATGACTATATAACACTACTCAGACTGTATCAGGTGTGTGTAGCATTGATGTGTTGGCTCCTGGGTTTGGTCCAGCTGTTCAGGCATTGCATTTCTCAATACTAGTACTGTTAGCTGGTATCAAAACATGGCCACCAGCCCTGCACAAGTGAGGGATTTAAAATTGCAAATTGCTAGACAATAACCTGTTACTCTCAAATTAAAATATGACTTCCAACCCCACAGTACCCTGAGAATCCCTACTCTTTGTTGATAAAGATTAAAACTGTCAATGAGGTTTGTCAACACATATTAACAAATGTATATAAAATTCTCAAATGTACATTATAATTACTTTGGTAGAGACAATGGGCCCAACAAAACAATTGCTTCTTTGGTGTAAAAATGCAAGACTGATATGAAGAAGCATTCATGTGACACAAACCGAAAGTGCCAATTTGTGACACAAAGATCTGTATACATAAACACCCAAAATAACCAACTTAAATAACATATCAGAAGATGAATTTGTGGGTCACTTATTTCCAACTTTGGTTCAGTTCATGAAGTAGGGCATTGATCTCTTTCAAGACATGTAACAGATACTCAAAGTTCGATTCACCATTTCTAGCCCTCCACAACTTAACCCTAAAAGTGCTCATTGTAAAAAATGTTGACCTTTTCAAACACAGCTATATCTGACAGCATGTGACATCTGTTATCATTTTATCTGAATTTCAGTGTCAACACATATTTAGGGGGAATTTTCTTTACAGATTTAAAGTCCTTAGAGAGTTTTTATATAGACAATTTACTCTTGAATGAACCAATGGTGGCCAGGAGAGAAAACATTGCTGTGATAAAACTGTGAAAATTGTGGATGAAGGAACTTATCTCAGTGATAATGAACATGCAGTGTAGTGACAGTGCAACCAGCTGTTTCTGTTGATAACTGCCCTGATTCATTGTCTGAAAGTAGTCACATGAGGACCGATGATTCAGAAAGTGATACACCACTGCAAGCTGGAATGAAGAGAGAACTGTAGTATCAATATTGTGACATGTCTCCTGAAAACCAGAACAGAAAAACCAGAGGAGATGGCCACTGATAGGGAATGCCTCTGTAAATATGTTTCCATGACAACCGACTCTCTTGACCGCAGTAACAGATACACATACAACAAGAGAGGAAATTTTGGAAGTGGTGTTTTAAATGCAGTTTGTGCTGAGGTTATATAAGAAGTAACTGGAGCCTAGAGTCTGGACCAGGAGGCCATGAATTACTGTCATGGGTTAGATATGTGTCGCCAGCCAGTGCACAATGAAGATAGAAGACTTAGTATGTGCCATAGTGAACTGTAAAGAGTGTAAATTAGAGACAGCACTGTAATTAATTGCAGTTATTGTTTGTAAGAGTCCAATAAATTCAGTTACCAATCCAAACCCATGTCTAGTCACATAAACATTTTGTGATGAAGTATTCAACAGAACTTGGCCAATACACTACATGATGTTTCACATATTTTAAATTTCAGGTCATACGTAGTAACAGGTGTCCAAAACTTATCATGAATTATAAACCATAATTACTCTTATTTTGGATCTGACATTCTCATGGCAGACTGAAAAGTATGACCTGCTGGGTTGTAATGTTGTGCAGTTCTCAGAGATTCAAATGTTTCAAAGGCAGATATCATCTCCATCCTGTAGGTCAAAGAGTAAGCCATGCAAGAAAACAGCACAAAGAGGTGGCAAAAGCTACGGAGTCTCAACACTAGCAGCATCATTAAACGATCAACTTAAAAAAGAAAGAAGCAGGTGACAAGCTCGGCAGCCTGCACAACTTGCTGCCTGCGCCTGCTGGTTTCTTTTACCTGGCTTACTCTTTGACTCTGAAGATGGAGGCAACGCATTCCTCCAACTAAATCACATTACAACCCAGAAGACTGTACTCTCGAAATATTTGTATACTTTGTTGCACTTGCATGATATTCAGACCCCAAAATTTAAATATTAAAATAAAGTACAAATCATTCTCTTCAAAGCGGTTGATAAGGCTGTATTATAATTTGGAAATTATGGCAATGGTCTTTACTTTTGTTTGACCTGAATTTTGTACTGTTCTGATTTGACATTGCAGGAACTGAAACTGGCACTTTCAGGGCTAAAAGCAACTAGTCAAAGTTAATACTTTCTTCATTATATGGACCTTCATTTTCCACTTTAAAGTCCCTGTATTTATTTCAAATGTAGGGCACCTTAGACTCAGCAACCGCGCCCCCTCCCCACCCTCCAATGCAAAATGAGAACTATACTTTCCATTTTATAAACTGCTGAAACCCATATCAAGTAGTAATGTTCTGCTGTCAGAGGAATAATGTTCATCTGTCTCTAAACTTAGCACTGAACAAACTAGCAGAAGACGACAACTCCCTAAGAATCACGTTGCTTAGCTGAAGTCCGTGGCTTGTTTACACAACACAGGAGCACATAAAAATGTGCTGAGGATCCACCCTAACCCACAACCCTTGGGCTGCCAATGTTATAAGATTCATTATTTTGCTCACACTTCTGAATTTCAATACTTACTTTCTAACAGTACAGCCGAATTCTTTTGCTATTCCTATTCGACTTTAATCATTTCACCTCCAACATTCCTTTCACACAATGATTGAAGGCTTATGATTACCAAGATGATTGTGGCAGCCTCCAGACAACATACATATGCAAAAGTCACCACCGAGCTTTACTCGAATTTGTTTTTAACTGAGATTTTAATGTCCTGTGATGACACAGACTTCTTCATTTTCCTGCACCCATGCCTCCAGCCGTCATGCAGTATGGAGTATCGCAGTTAATAGGAAAGGAATATGGACCAATGTACCATAAATAAATCTGTATAAAAACCAAACCAAACAGTTCCACTGCTGTTATCCTGCTAGTGGTGCTGTTTGCGGGCCCCACGCACCCCTCTCCCACTCAACCTGCCACCATGATGCTGGCTTCCCATACCATTTTTCTCTCCTGCAGGTGTGCTGAATGACATGGTGGAGGCAGAGGGTGGTGCCTTGCTGTAAGGTATCCGGAAAAGCTTAATCTTCAGGTGATCACAGATTTCGAGGCACACTTGTGCTGAGTAACGAAGGAGATCCAGGCTCACCCACACCTACAAGAAAATGCACTAATGAGTCACGAGACACACTGCATGGCACCCGTGGGAAGCAATGGTCACTCACAAGAGAAAATCATGGCACCTGTGAGGACAGTCACAAGTCACACTGAGTTGTTCTTGGCTCAATATCCTCTATGAACCCTCCAGTCACTGGATGACCATCCCTTCTGCTTTGGCATGATGTAACAATGCCCTTTCACTGCCTCCAGTATGTCACACAATGCCTCAACCCTTCTTGCCAATCATTTGTCCTTTTCCCCTCCTCCTCTACTGTCAACATTAGCTTCCTGCTTGGCCACTATCTGGTTAGCATGCCTTTGGTTCTTAAGAGTCTGGATGGGTAATACTGGCTTAAATTCTACTTTGACCCAGTTTATTTTGAAATTATTTGTTTGGCAGAGATGTGACCAGGTTCTAGTGAAGAGCCCTTGCCTGTTTGTGTGCATGCTCAGCACATTGTGGGTAGGTGTATGCACACAAGCCCATAAGGCAAGTGTCAGTTAATTACATATACTTCTTTGTATATTCATGTGTGTTTTGTGACTGATCTGTGAGCATTAATTTTGTTTACATGGTACAACTTGGATTAGTTGTACATAAGCCAAAGCTATGCTGCACCCTGTTGTGCTGGGGCAGTAGTTTACATGGGTTTATTTTCTCTGTAATCCCATTCTCTTGATGAGCGGTGGTGCTCACCATTTTGTGCAACGGCTTGCTCATGTGACCCAAAGTAGTTCTGTGTAACTGCACCACTTATGCATGCTGGTCTGTGTAACTGTTCACGCTATCATTTTGCAATCTCCTGTTCCTCAAATTTTGAACTGCATACTGTTAATTCTGTATCAGCTTTATTTTGCATTTATATTGTTTTGTTCTTCTTACAAGGTCTCAAGAGTTGTGTTTCACAGTTTGCAACCTGTCATCTGCAAGTGTCTGCAAGTGTTTTCACTGTACATCCTGGATGTTTTGGTTCCCAGTTCAATTTTCTTTCTTTTGCTGCTGTGGCTAAATACAGGTTCGATTACTCATTGCTAGCTATCTTGATTCCCAGTCCACCTTCAGAAAGCATGTATACCCATAACAATTTGGGGATGATAGCTTGAGTTCTCCTGCACTCTGCTTGGCAAAAACAACTCAACATGCCAAACATTAATAAGTCATAAAAGACTGCAGGGTACATTAATAACAGGAGTCATAATATTATATTTCAGCATCCTGTTGCAGTGAAGTATCACTCATGCAGTTTCTCTTCTGTCTATAATGCAACACACTTTTTATTTTACATGACACCAAACTTACATTCAATTCTCTTGTTGATGTACGTCATTATTCTCAATTCTGGTGTTTTGAGAATGTACTATACTGACAACAGTGGGCACAGTGCAGTAGATTCCATCAAAATGTGTTGCCTGAAGATGGCCCTGTGAGGCTGAAATATGTATTCAGACACAGAATATATATATATACTCATATATATTAAAAACATTTTAAGACCATTTTAACTGGAATTTTAGTGAGTTGAATAAATTTTGATGTCACATAAAATAAAAAGTGTGTTGCATTACAGATGGAAGAGAAACTGCACGTGTGATAGGAGTCATGTCATGTGCTGCTCCTGTTAAGTTGGGAGCCATCAGTCACTCACCACCCACTGATGAGTCATAAGACATATTCATGACACCTGTGATGAAAGAAGCCTTGCATCATGCACTAAAAACTAGTAAGTCATATGATACATTGCATGGAACCAGTCATTGTAGGAGTCACTCACCAAACACAGCCACAGTACAATATACTCTGGAAGAAAAAAATTGAAGTACTGGTTAAGGAACAGCATGGCTGGGCCAATCAGAGCTGAGTCCAGGTATTCCAACTCATTCTTCGTCATGTGTGCTACCTGCAGCAGAATACAATTTCCTCAATGAATAAAGGAAACAGTGAATGTTGCTGAGTCACAGCCTGGTTTAACCCTTCAGTGCCGTAGTCCGTGCATGGCATGCCAGCGGCTTTTTGTCACATGTTGCCGAAGTCCATACTTGGCGCACACAGTGCAGCACTAAGTTACAGCTCGTATTTTGAACCATTGTTCACGTGTAAAGTAATTTTTTTGGTATGAAATTAAAGAGGAAATTTCAGGCTAACATTTCATATATCCACTGTCCCACTTTGAACTTCCTGCAGGAGTTGTAATACATTTGAATTCTCTGAAAAAGTTTTCTGCTTTAACACTTGGTTCGCTTCTTACCATACAAACCTACCCCTGCCTTGGGGAATTCTTAAGAACTAAATATGCTAGATCAATACTGTGTGCTGTCCTGCATGCTGACTGAATGAAAAGTCGATTCTCTTGAGGCACATTCTGACCAGTGCTGCTTCTAGATTGCAATTTGTAACCAAGAGAAGACACATGGAGAATCTACAACTTTGAGACATGATGTTCACTCTTAAAAGTGTATCATGACTGCTATGTAGCAAACCAAAAACAGTTCACTACATGAATGATACCACTGTAATCCCCCTTTGTTCTACAAATATGCATCATGCAGTCTGGTCAGCCTAGGCCAGCCGCAAGGAATGAAGTGACCAGCTGTGTTGTGTCATGACCAGTGGAGAGTATATTTAGTTCAGACTGAATCAGAACAAAGGTTTATCAGATTTGGAATTAGACACTGAAAATGGATGTTTCTGCTTTTCTCGATTCTGTGGTAAATGACAGAATCGAGAAAAGCAGAAAAGCACAAACATCCATTGGGAGAATACGCAAAACTATATGGGACAAAAAGAAAATTTCTGAATGTGATTATAACATGTAGGAATAACACAAGGAAAAGAACAGATCAATTGCCAATTAGGATGCAGTTAATTGAGGGACTCTGTGAAATATGCTAATGCTGTAGAACACACAGTGCTACGTCGACATTCATCACACAAAACAGGATTCCATCTAAGAGAAAGACATTTTATAAACAAGATTCTACCAACTGTGAAGAAATCAAAACCACAGAAATAGCGAGTTGTGTGCCAAAAACTGTGTACTGGTGTGATGTGGGACTCTGTGTGGAATGTTTTCATGACTAACACACCCAGCTGAATTTCTAAGATAATATGATACAATTATTCCTAAGTTTTATAGGCTTACAGTAGCAAGAATAATTTTAAAGCAGTGTGGATCAATACACCGATTCTATACACGAGGGTTGGAACTTTAATAGTGGCAACTATTTATTTACAACTGATACAAAATAGATGCATGTTTTGAAGTTTTACTGTCCTTCAATGTAGTCACCAGCATGGTGTACAACCCATTGCCAGCGATGTGGAAGTCGTAGGATACCTTTAGCAGCGCCTCTTGTGTTCATAGTTCGAATGGAGAGGTCTACTGCCTGAAGAATCTCTGGAACAGTTCTGAAGCGAATGCCACGAAGTGGTTCTTTAATCTTAGGAATCAAGTAAAAGTCACAAAGGCTTAAGCCTGGGGAGTATGGTGGATGGTACAGCATTTCCCAGCCCCATCGATCGAACAAATCAGCCGCAGCTTGCGCTGCATGCGGCCAAGCATTGTCCTGCAAAATGATGGGTGCATTCTGCAGAAAGTGTTGCCGCTTCTTTCTCAAAGCTGGTCACAGGTTGTGTTCCAATACTGCGCATTGATGGTCTGCTGTCAGGGAATGGTATGCGTTAGGATAACACCATCACAGTCGTACACGAGAATCACCATAACTTTCAAATTGCTGGGGTTCTGACAAACTTTTGATTTTCATGGTGACCTGTAATGACGCCATTCATTCAATTGGCATTTCGTTTATGGCTCATATGAGTACAATTTGGCCCATGTCTCATCCAGTGTAATGATACGGCATAAGAAAGCCTCTCCTTCGCGCTCATAGCGCTCCAAGTGGTTACGAGCAGCGTCGTGTCATAGCCATTTCTGCATTTCTGTCAAATCATGCGGAACTCAAATGATGTAATTTTTCTCATGCCCAGGCATTCCTTCAGAATGCGAAGCACATTCACATGTGCTAATTCTGTCTCTGGGGCCGGATCACGACTCATATGGCGTCGATCACTCTCCAGTAACGTGGAAAGAGCATACATTTCTTCTTCACTGACACTAGGATGACCTGGCCGACACATGTCTGCCACATTTTGGCATCCCTCGTTGAAGGCTTTTACCCACCTTGCCACTGTTCTGTAAGACAATGCAGATTCCCCACAAGCCTCTTGAAGACCTTGATGACACTGTCGTGCTGTATGGCCTCTGGCACATTCAACCTTTAGCCAACTCCGTTGTTCCTGTTTTGAAAACATCGTGACACCACTACATTAGACTGCCAGCTAACACGAGGCTATGTTCTTCTCATCACTGTGCATGCACGTGATGTGGGAAGGGAGAGTCCATTTGCTCCCAGGTAAGGTAGGTATGTAACTAACGTGTGGTATAAGCGACATTATTTGGTTCTGTTGCATGGCATCTCTACAACAGTGTTGCCACTATTAAAGTTCCAACCCTCATACATTTCCGAACGTAGTGTGGAAATTAGAAAAACAAAACTCCAGTTTTTCCCAATTTATTGCATTTTAAGTTTTCTGTCATCTTCACATACCCCCCCCCCAAGGAAATACAGGAAAATGCTGCATGATCACTTTATTCCAAATTTTTCCAATTCATCAATCTCATTCATTTTGCCACCTTGACCCACATAATACATGCAGTTGTAGAAGTGTTATTAAATAAAGTCAATGAGCCGTTTATTTTGGGCATGATAAATAAACAACGAATAGTGTTTCACTATATTTATGAACAATCTAAGATCCATATCATCCATACCAAAAGCTCCCAAGCAGACATCAAATTTTGCCTGGTTATAGCAGGGTAACTGTGACTTTCTTAGGTCACATGTTGCAGGTTGTAATGACACCATCCTCACTGAGGTTGGCCGAACCACGGCTGTCTTTGGTGGGGATGCATCATGGACCAAGGATGCATTGGGACACCTCCTCATGGTCCCGCTTGGCAACAACAGTCTTGGGGTCTGGATCAGTATGACCTACCTGGGCTGGCAGCTAAGTTCCCATAAAGGGCAATGGCTTTATGACCGGAGCCTCCTACACGGCGGCATAATGACTCTTGTGGATCACTATGGTGTACCCGGGACGAATGCAGGAGAGCACTCCCATGGCGGTAGCTTCAGCTATTTGAGTTGCCTCCCTAGAGTACCGATAAGGTGCTGCAAGCCTTAGGGCTCAACACTCTAAAACGGTTTGACCAACCCATTTGGAGGGGTTGGAATGGGGGAGCTCATAGGCCACCCCCAGAGGCGACTCTCTCATGCAGGTTGCCCTAGTCACAACCTCATGACTAACTGGTGTCACACTCCCATTAATCATCTGGGATACACCTCTCCCCCCAAACAGGCATTCTTGGTCCTGGAGGCTTGTGAGGGTTTCATTCACAACAGAACCAGGCCACCTAAGCCAAAGTGTGAAGCATCGTGCTGAGGGCTGCATGGCACTGGGGTGGTGATTAGCCAGTGTCTTGAATGATCCCCTTGGGGCACCAGGCAGCACCCCGTTGTACTTATGCCTTCCACCCTTATGGACACTGCGGGTACCAACCTTTTAAATACCCATGGCTCCTGGGACCAAAAAGAAAGGAACCAAACAAAAAACCAGTCATAAGGACCTTAAACTGAAGAGGGACCCCCCCTCCAAGGGGATCCCTATGTGAAATGATTCAGCAGGGGGGCTGGAAGCTCTGGTGAACCACTAAGGGACCCAGTTGCAACCAGTGACCCTGATGTTGAACTTTCGACCAAAGGCAGCGATGAACCAGTGGTTAGAAATCTACCTGACGTAAAACCAAAAACTCCTCTCTTGGGAATCAGTAGTACTGACATACCACTGCAAGGGGCTAGTACTTCTAGCACACCTGCAGCAGGAGAAGGACTGGGACACCTAGTCTCTGGAGTAGGTGGACCCCGTCTAGCGAAGAAGGCCTTGTCTGGATGCGCTAGACAGAAATTAAAAAGGCAAGAGCTGGGGCATGCAAAGCAGGAACTAGGGGCAGTCAGGAACCAGGAAGTGCAGACTCGTCAAAGCAGGGAGAAACCCCCCACTGGGATCTTTAAGAGGCCAAGGGCATAGGGCAGTACTCTTACAGAAATGGCCAGAGCTCCAAAAAGGCCCAGGGACTTACAAGGAGGCTCTGTCCAATATAAAGGTAGCTATCTTCAAGGAAATGTATCCTGAGGAGAAGCTAACAGAGGGAGACCAGGACTCGATTCTGGAGGAACTTGGACAGGCGTTACATAGGACTCCTTTGGGAGAACTACCACGCCTGAAATCATACAGACTGGAGGGATGTGCATTAATACATACATGTGCCTACCAACAATCTGGACAGTGGCTCGTCAGAACCATAGATAATCACAGATTAAAATCAGGGGCTAGGGTGAAGATTACTGATGCCAAGAACCTACCCAAACCTGTGAAGGTGGCTTTCAAGGATGAAGAACGAAGTTGCCCAAAATCCTGCAGAGCTGCTGAAATGGATCAGGAATCTTAATCCAGGGCTCCATACTGAGAGTTGGAGGATACTGGATATGAAATCTGAACCAAAAGGGCAGAGACTGATCCTCCTTATAGACCGGGATTCCTTGTATGTTATCAAGGGAACCGGATATAGGGTATACACAGGATTCTCACAGGGAACTGTTACGGTCCTGCAGGATCCTGAGGCGTAGCGGCATAAAGAAGTTGCTGTGCCCAGTTCAATACCCTTAGAATCAGCCTCTGAGAGGGAAGGGGATGATGTACCCACTCCCTCAGTTGACCAAAAGAGAGTATCTGATGAGGAGACAATCCTCCTCTCATCAACCTGACCTTACCAGATCAGGGACCTCCCTAGGAGGAAACCAGGTCTGATAAAGTAAAAGGGGCTGTGGAAGAAGGTATTTAGGAGGACACCTTTCCCAGCACTACAGAATGAAAACACAACACACATACAAACACACATGACATATACACACAACATATGATTCATTCAGCAAGGCTGCTATGGCAATTTTATGTCAACAACTTGCTGAGGGAAAAGTAGACGTAGCCACTCTCTGCCACTCAATATTAAGTATACAAACATAATTAAATATATGTATTGTGTTATTTAATAATTCTGTATTATGTACATAGAAGGAATAGGGGGCCAGGATTGTGCAATCAGTATAGCAACTGGCTACGGGTTGGCTGGCTGAGGGGTTGTCAAGTCCCTGTAAGGGCAAGATGTTCCTCCTCTCCACATCATTAAGGCTGGTTCTGGGGCCCATTCAGCCTCCTATCCAATTGGTATGGGGGGTAGAGCAGCTGAGGCATGTAGCTGACCACTGAGTTACAACTAGTGCCGAGGTCAAGAATACATAAATCTATACGTCAATTCCCCCATATGTCTTCATGGCATAGTGGTTTAACTTTATGCACAGCACTATTGTGACAAACATTCCCTCAGACTTGCAGACCTGACAGTGCACTGTTGTGGGGTGCACGGCACAGTGTTACACTCATAGCAACACATTGCTGTTAAGCCATTCAGTGCTGCTGTCAGCCTATTTATTTCTTTGTGTTCACCTGATTTTGTCTTAGTTATCCATTCTCTGTGATGGTTCTCATTTCATTTCCCTTTCCTTTTGCATGCCTACACATGTCATGATTCCCTGTTTCCTATCTGAAAATCTGATCAACCGGTGAAGGTATATTCTAAATTCAGTTTCAGTCTTGCTGAGTGCATTATGTAAAGCTGAAAATTATGTTTGGATGATGCCCCCTTGGGCTGTTGAGGCAAGAGGTCCTCACAGTACATGGCTGCTGAGTACTGGGTAATGTGCTCTCATAGGGTGAAAAATGGTACATGATTTGTGTTCTACAAGAACATTTATTTGGCAAGTACACCATGTGCATCTCACAAATGTTAATCTTGATAAACAGGATTTTTTTGAGAACTAGTGGGCCACAATTTGCATTGCATTCGTGAGTTGTGTGTCTGTGTAAATTCTGAATTGCTTTCTATGTTGGCTATGATGCAACACGAATTTAACTGCTATACGCGACATTCTTTGATTATGTATGTTTGTAGTTCTGCTAAGGGCTTCTTAGGAGAGCAGCTAAGTGCTACTCTTAGCAGAACGATAGTGTGAGACTACTTTTGTTTTCCTGTGCTATGTTTATATTCTTTACTGCCATATTCTTCAAACGTGTAAAATTCTTTTAAACTGTTCTCTATATTAAATGTGTTTCTGTTACTATGTATTTCTTTTCTTTAGATATGCAATAATTTGAGTTCCTTGCCTACCATGTCTGATGAGAAGTGACTGAGCTAGAAAGGACGAGCTAAAAGGTTTGTGTTTAGGCACCCTGTCCATTTGGCAGTATGAAACATGCAACTAAATCACGGACCATAAAGTGAGCCATTTGTTGTCCATGTTTAGCATACACTGCTCCTTCTTTCATTGAAGTGTGTATGCCCACAGTTCCACAGACCTAGCACTGGAACACTGTGGCATGTATAGCCACAGTTCCACAGCCCTAGCACTGGAACATTGTGGTATACATGCCCACAGTACTGCCAAGTCTCGCTTTCTACCTCAGTGATGGGCATGCCCACAGTCTCCTATGCCTAGCTTTCTACTGCCATGATGTGCATGTCCACTGGTCCTTAACTGCAGATATGGTTAAAAAACTGAACTGGTCTCTACTGTTTTTCAAACAAGGAAAAGGAACTGAATGCAGTCTTATACACCAGCCTTATGATTATGGTCTTCTGTGACATGACACCACACAGTTGGCAGATGGGAACAAACATTCTGGAGGAATGCCAGGAGCAAGTTCACTTGAAATGTGTGCATTAAATGGAATCATATCATATGAGACCATAACCTTAATATTCAGCACTATGAGAACCTCAGATTTCATATATGCTGACTTACCACAAGTCTGTTGGTAACCTTGGCAGCTGCCATACCAAATGCCAGTATGTAGAGGGCAGGATGGTTCTCGTACACATGTTCAACACTCTTTCTATAGATGATGAATGCTGGGACAATGACCAAGCTGAATGGAATCACAGGCGACAGAACACTTGTGCCCTGCATAACAATACAATGAATATCATATCCCTCTCATCAGCCACTTAACATTGTTGCCACCTTAACACAATTCACATTTAATGTACACAAGAGTTTTCAACACAGACTTCATTGTGTTGTGATGAAAGTGGTAACAGGCAATGCTTACTGTTCTAGAAACAAGATTGGGAAACAGTACTGAATATCACAGTAAGTGCATCCGTGAAGTGCACATGACATTGTGATGGTCACTGTCTTGAAAACAACATAATAAATGCACATATATGTAAACATTTATTTTACTGTGGTTACAACTTAAGGGTGGAACATTTTTCAATGTACATCATATAAAGTGCAATACAAGTTCGTCGCTGTTTGTCTAGTGCCTCCGACATAATCAGTGTTGACTTCTCTGGTCTCTGGCCACCTATGAAAGGGTGCAGGGTTGATTTCTGAGGTGGGGGCCTATATAGGGCAGATTCAGTTACCCCCAACGATAGGGTGAGAATGAGGGGTGGCAGAGGGGACCTACATGGGCCCCTAAAAACAAGGGGGCTTCATAATCTTTACATTTACAAAGTTTTATCTTTGGCAGAAGTGAAGGCTGCAATCTGTGAGCAGAAAAATTCATATACATCTGGCTGGACAGCACTCAGAAACCCTCTGACCAATCATCAAGTCATAGAGCAAGACCACCAGAACTCCTTAATATGCTGATACATGGGAGGTACAAAGTTAACCTGGACTTAATTTTTTTCCCCTGAAATGTGGGCACCAGGAAAACGAAACTTTTTCATGGACAGCTGGTAGCAAAACTGCACTCATTACCTGGCAAGTGGTAATGCACCACACTTCTGCACAACAGATCTCTTACAAGATGGCATCAGACTTTCACCCTGATAGTGTAGAACAGCACCAAAACATTAAATTCCTAGCAAAAGGGAAAGTTTAAACAAGCAGAAATTCTTTGTATGTTAAAGATACAGTATGGAGAAGAGACCCTGTCATGTGCAAGTGTCTATGATCAGTACAGCAAATTTCCTGAAGGCCATATATGATTCAAGTCACAGCTGTCAGGTGGCAAGTTCATGGCAAGTGTTTTGGGATTTGGAAGGAAGGATTCATGTTGACTTTCTTCCACATGATCTAACAATCTATGCCAGTATTACAGTAACCTGTTTCGCAATGATGTGCACCAAGCAATTCAGAAGAAGAGACCTCAGAAACTGTCAAAAAAGACCATCTTACTGCATGACAATGCTCATCCACATACAGAAAATCTGATGAAGGCAATATTGGCAATGGGCCAACTTAGCCCCCTGTGATTTTCATGTGTTTTGATCAATCAACGTGCACATAGGACAGAATCTTTCATTCTACTGGCAGCAGTAAGTTGCCAGGACAATGGATAAAAACGTGTTACTGTACATGAAGAATATCTTGAAATGTGTGAGAGTTTGCTGATTTTGGCAATATGTTCCTTTTGCTTAAAAATAAGTCCAGGTATCACCCTTGTATAGCTAATACGTGGGGAAGTCATAAAATTTTAATTATCACCCAGAAGAAACAGAAACACAGATGCAAGAAATTGTATGTGAGTTAGCCCTTCTCTACATATGGCCCCTGCAAGGTCACACATTTTCCCCAATGATGCATTAGCTGCTGGATACCTTGATCATAGAAGGTCTCGTTTTGACTGTTCAGGAAGTCCTCCACTGCAGAAATGTCATCATCGTCTTGGAATCGCTTACCACAAAGTAGCTTCTTTAGTCACGGAAAGAGGAAGAAGTCACTCAGTGCCAGGTCTGGTGAATATGGTGGATGGGGGATAATTTCATATCCCAAATTGGCAGCAAGTGTCGTTGTAGCACGAGCAGCATGGGCCGGTGTGTTGTAATGAAGAAGTCGCACACCTTTCTGCAGCATTCTGCGTTTTTCTTCAGTTCCTCCTGTAATTTTCTCAGAAGGTTCCAGTAGTATTCGCCAGTGATGGCGATGGCCTTTTACGCATAGTCAGTCATGATGACACCCTGCCGATCCCAGAACACACTCAACATCACCTTTCCTGACGATGGCTGGGATTTGGCCTTCTTTGGTGGCGGCGAGTCTGCATGTTTCCACTGCTTGCTCACTTCCTTCGTTTCAGGGTCATAATGACAGACCCAACATTCACCCATCGTGATCAGGCGGTCAAAAATTCCACCTTTTCATCTTGACACAACTGCAAAAGTTTCTTTGTCACATCCATCCATTGCTGTTTCTGAACTGGTGTCAACAATTGTGGCCTGCCCGGGTCATTATGATGATGGAGAATTTGGTGGAATGAAGATTGGCAGGGGAAACCGAAGTACTCAGAGAAAACCCAACCCAGCGCCACTTTGTCCACCACAAATCCAACTTGACCAGACCCGGGATCGAACTCGGGCCGCCGCAGTGGGAAGCCAGTGGCTAACCACTTGAGCTATGGCACCACCCTGCCACAACCATGCTACCATGTGTCCCATGAAAACTTGCTTTTGCCCTGGTACCTTCCCTATGAATATGTAACAAGTTAATATTACTTATAAATTTTTGCGTTTTCATGGCAGCAAGCTCTGAGACTCGTGTCTGACATTGCCTCGTGCTTCAAGTCAAAGTGATTTCCCAAACTGAATGAGGCTGCAGTGCAGACCACACTCTTTAACAAATAAATAACCTGCACAATACACCATAATCTTAATTGACTTTTTCAAATAAAACATACTCTGCAGTGAGCCCCACTCTATTTGAACAAATACAGTTATAGGTACAGTAAATTAAAATGGAAAATATACATATTTAGGACCCCAAAACTTGCACTTCCATCAAAATATCTATTTTTGTTATTTTCTGTGATTATAACACTTACCTATGCTGTGTGTGAAAAACTACTTACTACTACTACTACTACTACTACTACTACTACTACTACTACTACTACTACTACTACTACTACTACCACCACCACCACCACCACCACCACCACCACTACTAAGGACACCAGTATTTCAACCCTGTATAGCACAGATGGTAAGAATGCTGTAGGATGTAAGCTGTTAAGTCACTTACCAGTCAGCAGCTGCAGTACCTGCACATACATGCAATAACTTGTTCACCATTTTGTCAGATACTAGAGATGGTATTCAACATACAGTGTGACTTCAAATATCGTTTGCAGTCAATATTTCATCATCTGCTCCTCATTATCTTTACATATAAAAGGCTTATGCTTGTTATTCTGTTATCATGTATGTCAGTAGTCAGGTGTGTTGTGTGCTGTTTATTTTACAACACTGCAGCTAGACTACACAGTGGCAAATGGTAGGATGATGAACAGCAAAGTATTTTGAAGGGAGCACTCATGGTCTGATCAAGGTGCTATCATAGAGGGACTGATGGAAACCATGAAAAACGGCAGTCAGTAAATACAGTGTCCCAGCTGAGATTCAAAGTGAGCACCTCCCAGATAAAAGTCCAGAGAATTATAACTTTGACAGAAACATAGGCAGAAGATGGCAACAACAGACCATAGTGGAAAGTATGTTCAAGTTGTTACTGCAGCTTATACCTTTATCAACAAAAAAGCTGAAGACTTACCTCTAGATAGCAGCACCAACACGGTGTATTTTGTTATTCTACAAAGTTTATTGTCTTAACATAAATGTGGCTGTCTTCCCATAACTTTTCATGTTACTATGGTTAGGTATTTCTGACTTAAGTGTGTTTTTGCAGGCAAAAAAGCCGCATATGCACAGAAGGTTCTTTCTCAGAAGTTTTACATTCCAAAATCAGTATTGTTAAGAATGCTTGTTTATTCAAATTCTGTATCTTTTAAGCACATACTAACTTGCATGTATATGTTGCAAGCATGCACCAAACATGCATAACCAACAAACAACACAACAGTGAGTGCCGGAGTCTTCTTGAAACAAGCACTCACATCAAGCAGTGCCACCTTTATGTAACTCTGACTCTGTAATTTACACGATGCCCCTTGACCTTGTGTACACCCATATTTTCTCTGACAACCTGCATTAAATGTAACAATTCTGGTCTTGAGGCTGTCTCTAATAAATAGATTTTAAAGCAGAAACAGAAAGACAAAAGAATAGCTTGAAAGAAAATGGTAACCTACTATACAATGCTACAATGAACACAGTTTTTTTTCTGCACTGTGTTCCTTGGATTACATATAAGCATGAGCATCAGTGTCAGAGGTTGGGGCAGAAGAGGGGGGGGAGGCTGAAAAGACCCTCTGCCCAATGCTACGGCAAAGGTATGTAGCCAGAGAAATACTAACTTATGATTAGGACCATAAATGGATGAGGCATGTGAAAAGATGAAAGAAAATAAGTCCCACTGCTTCAATGAGCATCATACAGTCAACTCTCGATTATCCGGGGGCGGATTAACCGGTTNGATGTATAGGGGAGTGGACATACAGCTCCACAAATTCTTAATCTAATTCCTAGATGGAGGCAAGTGGTCAGCTTCATGTCCTGGCTGATTTATCCCCCAGGGAAATATCCCCTGGTACTCACTGGAAAAGAGGCTGGATGGGCATCTGATAAGATCCAGGAACTGAATACTGCTTCCCAAGTCACTCAGCCACAGTCCGCCTAGTCACTCTACTGGCTTTACTTGCAGCTTCCTTTGTGATCTGGATCATAAATATATGGGGGAGAAACTGTATAGGACTTCACAATGTGGTCTTCTGTGTTGTGACACTGGGCTCATGTCTCATATATATGTAACTATGTTAGAGAGAAACACAATGCCTCAGAAACACTGGTACTCATCTGCCAGTCAACAACAATAGTGATAAAACCCAGAAGACTGTAACATGAATCTTCACAACTGTGAAACCCTCAAATCTCACACTGCACAGCATTGCTTAATACATTGTGGCATATTTACTCCATGTGAGAACTGCTGAGCCACAGAAACAGCCATTGCTATGGAGTACACACAAGCAACAATAGAACAACTGGGTCATGCAACCCGTTTCTAGGCAATGGCTCAGTAAACACATATCAACACACAACAGTTTAGAGCTGTGCTTTCTATGTGGTCCACACCATGCAATAATACAGAGATGTGTTCTCTATGTGGCCTGTTCCGTAATGACTTACGCTAGTCCCACCTGGGAATTCACGGCAGACACTCATCTAGTGAAATTGCAGCGCCTGCAAAACAAGGTTCTCCGCACCACTGGCAATTTTCCAAGGTGCACAACGGTCCGCGACTTGCACATGGCATTTAAAATCCCGTACATATATGACTATATAACAAAATTATGCAGGAAACAAGCAGAAGTCATACAAAATCATGAAAATGAGAATGTTTGCAACATCGGACAAGGCAAAGCCAGACACAGAAAGTATAAGAGGCTTAAACTTGGCGGAGGTCAGTCATACTACCGTTCAAGTGACTAGGCTACTGTGGTAGCGAATACTACTAGAAATAGGGCATAATCTGCTGTACCAAGCCTGGATTGACAGAGGCCTTGTATATATTGTACACAGAAATAGGAATTAAGTTTAGATTGTAAATATATGTAAATACTGACAATGGACTTACTAACACAGACTATGACTGACAAATGACAGACCCGACCTCTCATCAGAGAGGGCGCCCCAAATAAACAGGACAGTAACTTTCATATAAAGAAAAAAAAATCTGGTCATGAGCCCCAGTCGGGGCTCAACACCAAGACAGACAGACTGACTGACTGTCAGTCGCAATGTGACTTTGACTTTGACTTGATGTGGCCTGTGCCACACAACAGTATAGCGCTATGTTTTCTGTGAGCGGTCCAAGCCGAGAGGATATAAGATCAGAGTTCTGTTGAGAGCTCAGTTCTGTACAGGAGGCTGTGAAGAAAAGAGATAGTTGCAAGAGTGCGGCTGTGAGGAGAAGATTTTATGTGTAATATTTGGAGTGTGTAATTCAGTGAAACTGTTACAGTTCCTGTGTTATAAATCCGTTGCCAGGAAATGGACAGTGAATGCATTGTAAAGGCATAGTTATTGTTGAGTTCTGTTACCCAGCAACGACTAATGTAAGCAGACAGTGAAGACGTTTTGTACGTGTTATAATTACAGTAATCCTTAGAGTGTTATAATTAATCCAAAACCCATCTACAAGTCACTGATACATGTGACAATACAGCAGAACTCAGAATTATTGGCTTTTTGGTCTTATGTTGAAAACATTATATGAGGCTGCAAATAGAATGAAGCTGCAAGTAACAGAAAATGTAACAATTTGTAATTAATTATACCTTCGCTACTAAGTAACCGCCGTTCTATTGCTGACTTCATTACCTTGAATATGTGCTCAGCGAAACACGTATATGGATCTGGACATACTGTGAGTGAAATATGTTAATAAATGCAAGCATCTCAAAAATGCAACCCATTTTGGTCCATCCCTTATAGTTTATGAATTAAGACCACTTGTTTGAATCAAATAGAGCTAATTCAATTCCACTGTTTGGTGGATGATGCAATACTATAGGCAAGCTGCCAGAGTATGACATCACGCATCCATAAGGTGTCCACTGGTAATAGTCCTGCTGCACATATGATTAATGGGAAAAGAAGTGGTTAGAAGAATATAATTGTAATAATGTACCAAGATGAACAAAGTTAAATGTTGAATGATAGTGTGAATAGAAAGAAACACATAAAAACTTATCTGCTGAATTGTAACACTCTATAGAATACTGTAACTATAGCACACAAAATAAAGTCTTCAATTTCTGCTTGCTAATCGTTTCTTGATAACGAATCTCACTTGGTTAACACTACACAGCTGAATATTCAACTACTGAACTGCTTTCTGAATTCTATTATGAAGGAATGAATTGCATTCACAAATGAACTCTCTATTATAAGTTCAGGAGGATCGAACACAAGCTATTGGTTTCCTGTATCTGTTGTAGAGAAACAACTGGTGATCTCATGATTCCTCGTATCCACGGAAGCCTTTGCTGAATCTTTGTTGATATGAGAATCAGGTTTAGTGAACCATTGCCTAGCAAACGAACTTCTGCGTGTTCATTGCTATTCCGGCTTTCAGGCGATGTTTATTGAAACCCTGCCTAGCAACTGATGGTTGGAGCAATTGATGCAGATCCCCTTGTACAAACACTACAGCATTATCCAACATTTTTAAATGTCAATAAAGTGCCTGAAGAAACTGATGAATTAGATGAAACTGACCAACATTTTCAACGTTAATCCTGGGAACCAAGGTTCCCCAATCTTCCCCCCCCCCCATCGTCCAGTATTCTAGAAATATAGAAGAAATGTGGTGAGAAAGAGTCCTTGGTACTGCGGCCCCAAATGGATCTACTGTACTATGTTTATCTAGCAAGTACCTGTCTTAAGTTGAAATCTATTCAGGTGCCATGAAATTTCATTGTAATTAACTATAAGTAATAAATTATATTAAGAGGAGCAATTCCAGTACACTGGCCAAGGAGCAACCTGTAATATTCCCTTATAATGTCACATTCTAGCTTCTCCACTTCATGACTACAGACTCCTCATTATTAGCAAATCTGACAGTTACGGTTGAAGCAGTCTTAGAGTTTCTGTTTTTGTAACAAATGATACTGTCACTATCAGTAATGGAACTAAGTGACGGATATGCATGACGGTTTCTACATATCTTATTTGTGTTTTCCAAAGAAAATAGAACTTCAGAGATACTTTGGATATGTCTGTTAAAAAACAGGCAAACAGAATCTCACAGCTGATAATAGTAGCTCTGACATTATAAGGAAACCATTTTCAAACATGTACATAAACAGTGACTTCACTTACGGCAACAGTTGACCCATTCTTGCCAACACCACCAGTTATGATGATGGCGACTTTGGACTGGGCCAGCAGGGCTGCCACCAGAACAGCTATATATATTGGAACTAGCTTTAGTTCCACATCCAACCATGGCAGCTGAGAGCGGCAGCACAGGGAATAACCCAGACACACACACCATTAAGACTCGACAATCACAATGGGGATTCCTGGCGTGAAGTTTCATTAACATGGGAAAGTGGCCAAACAGGGTATGCCATATCCAGAACCCATTATTTGGGGGTCCTAACATAAAACATACCACATCCTGTTACCTGGGTATCCAGTCACCAGACGTACCACACCCAGAACCCATTATTTGGGAGAAATAACTTTGGGCACCATACACAAAGCCCATTATGTTGGTATTCAAACTTGTGAAATATCACATCCAGAATCATTACTTCAGTGTCCAAACCCCAGACAACCAAAGACAACACTGTGTTCTGTTATAAAGTATGTAATACAAGATGCACATTATGTTCTGAACTGGAGTTGTAAAGCAATGAGTCTTCTCAAACAGTTCAACATCAATATGGACTGAAAATGTTATGCCTCAGATTCAAAGACTGTTTCTTATCTGTAAGACCTGAGGTTCTCATAGCAGTGGTTATGAAGAATTCTATCTTCTGCGATATACTGCCATGTAAAAGTAAAGTAAAAAAAGTAAAGCTATGCCTGTAACAGACTGTGAAGGCCCATAGGGTTGTAAGACTTGAGGGTCCCACATTATCTAGACAATTGGCTCAAAGATGGTGGTAAGGTTGTCAGTATAATGCCAGGTAGTCCGCTTAAAGTCAACCATTTCAGATGCACCTCCATCTTCAGGATCAAAGACTAAGCCAAAAAAAAAAAACAGTCTGAAAGCAGTGGCTGTGCTTGCTACCTGCTTTCACACTGGTTCCTTGTTTGGCTTACTCTTCAGCCTTATAGATGGAGATGACATTTTCCTCCAATATGTCAAATGACTTTAAACAGACTACCTGGCATTATAATCCACAAGACAGAACTCTTCATTTCTTATCACCTTAATCAGGAACTGGCATCCTGACAAATACCATCCAGAAGTTCCCATATTCTGATCAAATGGGGCCCTCTGCTCATCAGCTGGAGTAGAAATAACAAGAGAGTAGTAGTCACCCACCTCAATGTTGTTTAGAATTGAGCAACTTGTTACTCATCACAATAGACCTTCACAGAAACAATCTCTGAAACACTGGAGTTTTACTCCCTTCTGAAGGGACTGATTGCCTAAGAAGACTTCATTACCCATGTGTTTATGGAGCAAAGTTTATTACTTATGACAGGGAGTTCAAGGAAGAAGTAAAATTGTTTCTGCATATGAGAAGTGTCCAAAAAACAGTTCAGGATAAGTGAACGAACAATGTACAGAATCTACCACCTTTGGAGCAACATATGGGAATTGTAATTTACAATTCTGCTAAAAACAGGAGTCTGTAAAAGACGTGAGGAGACAAAGTTATGAGGCCTGGCCCTGTCTTCAATTTTAAGATAGGACAATGAAGGACATATTTTTTAGACAGCACGACAGAAAAAGGTATACAAAAATTGGAGGGTGAGAACAAGGACCCAAAACAAAGAAAGAGTTTACATAAACATGGGTCTGGAAATGCTTTGCTAACAAACTAGAGCCATTAAAAGTCTTCTGGCAACAGTAAGATTAGAACTATGGCTACAGAGTAACGTATGCTGCAGACACTTTGACAGAAATTGGAGTTTGGAGTGGATGATGTGAATGATTACGTGTCCTTTACCAATATCATTTTCTCCATTTAACAATGAAACATGAAGTAGTCATGTTTATAATGATAGTGAGTTGACCATGTATGAAGAATCTGACATAAAGCACTCCTATCCACTGAATTATGTAGAGTCAGGTATTGGTTTTTTCAGTGTTAGTTGCTTTTTGTAGATTGGTGATGGTGGCCAAGCACATTTCAGTTACACTACCAGAAATTACCTTGAGACTGCTCACACTGGGCGATGGATGGGGGCAGAAGCCAGTATCCTGGCAAAGTCATTCACCAGACATGTACCCCCTTGATTTGTTCCACTGGAGACATCTAAAATATTTGGTGTACACTACAGCAGTGGAAAATTCACAGGAACTGCTGCAGTGCGTTCAAAATGGCTGTACCTTGGTCCACAGTATTCCTGGAACTTTTCAGTGCATCTGTCAATCCCTGCACTGCTTGGCCAAACTTCTGTGGCACTGCATGGCCAATATTCTGAGCATCTACTGTAACCCTAGCAATAGTTTTCTCCTGCCACCAGAATGTAAAACTACATTTTCAGTCAACTGTTGCGTTATTTCTTGAACAGTACTCTCTTTTGTTACTGATATTGCGTCTGACTAAAAGTTACAACTTTAGGTGTACTGTCCAATGACATTATAACCGCTTTTGCAACTGAAGTTTTACTATTGTTTTGTTGCAGGGAATATCACGACTGTGTGTTTCATTGTAGAATGTGGAAGATGACAGTGATAAAACACAAATACCAATTCACATAGTCTCCCATAACCTTCATTTTTCTTCAAAAGTGTACCAGCATACGTTACTTCTGTAACCACAGTTCCAATCCTACTGTAGCCAGAACACCTTTGAATGGCTGTAGTTTGTTACAGAAGCATTTCTGAACACATGATTATACAAGGGTAAGTCAATGTAAGTTACAAATGGATATAGAACTTAAACAAATACTCGTATGAGTAGTCATTTGAAAAATGCTTTTATTTCTCAACATAATCTCCCTGTACATTGGGGCACTTGTCCCATCATTTCACAAGCCCCTGAAAACGAGCAGCATAAAATTCTTTGGGCTGCTGTCGGAACCAGGCATGTTCACACAGCATGGCCTACCTCATAATGCATGACAGATTGGGTTTTCACAGTCTGTGCACGATGGGTACCGTGCATGCCAACCCCACAACATAAAATGCAAAGAATGGGTCTGGCATTACAGCATCTCAATCGCTACCATGATGAAGGACACGATATGCCAGCCCGAATTGTCACAAGTGATGAGTCTTGGGTTCACCATTACCAGCCCATGACAAAGCGTGTGCCAATGCAGTGGAAACATTCTGCGCCACCTGCCAAAAAAGAAGTTTAAGGTGACACCATCCTCCAGGAAAGTGATGCTTACAGTCTTCTGGAATCACGAAGGCATACTGCTCACTGCATTCCAGCCTCAAGGACAAACCGTAAATGTCGACTCCTACTGTAACATCCTCAGGAAACTTCGTAAGGCCATTCAACGGAAGCATGCAACCTGTCATGCGTTATGAGGGAGGCCATGCCATGTGAACATGCCCGCTTCCGACAGCAGCCCAAAGAATTTTATGCTGCTGGTTTTCAGGGGCTTGTGAAATGATGGGACAAGTGCCTCAATGTATAGGGAGATTATGTTGAGAAATAAAAGCATTTTTCAAATCGGTACTCTTATTTGTTTAAGTTCTATATCCATTTGTAACTTACTTATTGACTTACCTATGTATAAAGTACTTTGACTCTTTCAAGTCATAGTACTCACCCTCCAGTTTTCAGTACTTACAGTGGGAGATCCTGTACATCACAGAGAAGATTCATAGAAAGAAGAAAAAAAGAGCATGAAATATTCTGCATTAAATAAAACAGATGTTAGAATTACAGTCTTCTTAGATGTGAGAACAAACAATTTAATACAGGGGTATCGACAGTCAAGAGGAATGGGGCAGGAAGATGTGGAGCTATCCTTCTAAATGACAGTACCTCTCTACCAGGCCAAATGACATGACAGAAATGTAGTGTTAATATTCAATGCTGTGAGAACATGAAATCTCACAAAATATGTGTTGCTCACACTTTTTTGCAGCTTGTAGATACATACTCTGCTGTATACGAGGGGAAGTGATGCAATTTAGACAACTGTGAAGTGGCTTGGGCCTCACTACAATGACACACAAAATATTAAACACCCTGCCGACCAATTTACCAGTGACCATTCTGTGGCTGTCTCCTATGCCTGCTGAGCAGCGGGACATGGGGATTGCACTAGCATAAGCATACCATGCACATTCTTACCAGTCGCAGTCACCAACACAAGAACGGGAAGGTGAAGCAGAAGCAAAATGGTAAGTCTAATGCTCACAGCAGTGCTACAAACTTTGTTTATGGTTTAATGACACTGTGTATAAGTCAGCCTATGTACTATCAAATGGTACAACTACTGATTACTGAATGAATTAAAAACGATGTGGAAAGAAGCAGTTATGGCCTAATTTTAACTAATAATCTGGCATTACTTGGAAGAGCTGAGGAAAATCATGTAAAACAATAAGAATATCTGATCTTCAGGCTGATAACTGAACCCATGACTTTCCAAATATGAAGTAGGAATGCTACACACTTGATTACTGACGTTACACATGCCCACCAACGCACCGTTTCCCTTTCTGTTACAAGGGATATGGAGGTAAATGTTATGTACATAACACAAGGTTCACGGATGCACCGAACATCATCAAACATGAGAAAATTCAGTTCTTACTTAAACAGAAGGTAAGAGAACCATTTCACCAGCTCCCTGAATGTTTTACTGTCATATATAAATTAGAAATATAAATAGGTTTTAAAAATTGAATGTTCAATTTCTTGTTGCAAAACAGAATGTATTTTGAGGTTCTTTCTCTTGCAACTGCAGCTCAGCTGAATACATGTACATTTGTTTATGCTGATGTATATTATTTATGGTATATTTAAAGACACTGTCAGAATCTCAGACTATATAGCAGGAACGGTAGGACGATTTGCGGATAATAAATCCAAAAAGGATATGGAAGGAACTGGTCTCAGCCTGACATATTACCCTGGCATTTACATCGATGGACTGAGGAAAACCATGAGAATCTCACTCAGGATAGTTTGTGGCCCAACCAAATTAATGTATGAGAACTGTTACTGATTGACTGAACTCGTGTCAGCTCCATGTTATTTTTGACAGAAATATCAAGTGGATAATTCAAAGAGAAATGGATGAAGTTTTCTAACAACTCATTCACTTATATAAATGAACATGTGTTGATGTTTCAAGTCCAAATATGCACAAAAAAAAAAAAAAACAGACTAACACATGCAATGTCAGCTTAATACAGCTGATTTGAGTGTACTGTCTGAATTGTAACACTGTTGTGAGGTGTCAGATGTGGCCCTTCACCAGGTTAAGTTGGCAAGCTTGTTGAAACAACTTACAGCACATGTGGAGCCGTTTTTTCCTATCCCACCAGTAAACACGATTACAGAGTTGCGATATGTGACTATCACTGCCATCACAAAAGAGAACAGCCCTATCAAATATCGCAGCTCAAAATACTCTAAAAATGGAATCTGCAAAGAAAACAAACAACAATACAAAACAAAATCAAAGAAGCTCAAGATAGAAAACTCTAAGTTGCAGGAAAGGTTATGTAAGAGAAAAACCATGCAAGTTGCAACACACAAACTTGCATTGTAGCTATGCAGTAAGAGAATCATGGAAACTGGACTTTTTGGTTTCTCTGTAATGTGTAACATATGTTATTAATATATATGTATATATATTTTAATAATTTTAATAACATTTTATACATTTAATGATCATTGTATGAATTAAATGTGAATTAATGTTCTTATTTGCTGCATTTTAGATGGAAAAGAAAAAGATTACAAAAGCACAGTACATTTCCAGAACGCTATTTCTGAGTTGCCCAATTCAGTGGCAAAGATCAGTATTATTGAGAGTGACTGTTCCTGTAGAACATGCCACAAACAACATGACACCAGATATGAGCTAACTCTGCTACTTACTGGCCAAACTTGTGAAGTGGGAATAATACCAGAATCATTTAAATACAGTTTTAGAATTTTAAACAATAAAAAAATTGAAGAAAGCAGTCTTCTGGGATTTGGCACCATGTATATGTGGTGTTAACCGACGTTTCGGAGGAACGTATCGCCACCATATTCAGGGTAGAAGAAAAAATATAAGAAATCTGCAAGCGAAGAGACCATGAGAACCGGTAAAAGCCAGTTCGGGAACATCGGTTGGCTTTAACAGACTATATGGTGTTCCCATAAAATAGTACTCTTCTCAATGAATTTATTAACTGTGAAAGCCTCAAATCTTATAGACAATATTTTGGTATACAGACCCATTGCTAGGAGACAGCTTGATAAACAGCTTCCTGTGGAGACTGATTCTGTGGAAACAGCCCACTGCTAGACAATGGACGTATTTTCTATAGAGTCCACCCCAAGCCTATGTTAACAGTGAGTGACTTCAAATATAAACAATGATCTTCCTGGTCTAGATCATCTGTTAAAACATAAGCAGTGGCTACAAAAATTGTGGCAAGAAACCAGGAATCCAGTGTACAAAACAGCAGTTAATTGGGTTACGAAGACAATCAGGTGAAAGACCTGTAAAAAGGCACTTGAATGGTGTGAAACAAAGATAGGTAACGCTGAAGTCACACCTCAGGCTATATGGCCCATTGCGAAATCCCTCCTAAAGAGGGATGGACCAAGGGCACCAACTATTATTCATTGTTTGTCAGGCCTTTAATTTCATCCATCTGAGAAAGCCAATGCAATTCCTGACTGTTTAGAAATTCAGTTCACACCACATCATCTGTGTGATGAAAACCATGAAAGGCAGGTGGAGGCTAGAGTTCACGCTCTACATGAAGACACAGACAACGGCCCCATCTCAGAGGATAAGACCATGTGACTTACAGAAATTAATAAATTCTTTGAAATTTAAAAAGGTGTGTGGAATTGATGGCATTTCAAATGAATGCCTCAGGCACCTTCCAAGGCGACCACTGGTACATCTGACACGTTTATTCAATCAGTGCCTTCAGCTGTCCAATTTTCCAAGTCCTTGGAAGGAAACAAAAGTCATAACCTTAACGAAACCCAATACTTACTTATGGAGCTGATCCCTTCTGGAGGAACCGCCAATTCTGCAGCTACTTAAGAATTTCCCATCATTTTATGGAACTCAAAGGTTCATTACCGTGTTCACAAGAGCCCTCCACTGGTCCTTATCCTGAGCCAGATCAATCCAATCCATAACATGCCATCCTATCTCTCTAAGATCCATTTTAATATTGTCCACCCACCTACGACTTGGTCTTCCCTGTGGTCTCTTTCTGACTTTCCCACAAATATCCTATATGCATTCCTTGCCTCCCCCATCCGTGCTACATGCCATGTCCAACTCATCCTCCTTGACTTGATCATTCTAATTATACTTGGAGAAGAGTAAAAGTTATGAAGCTCCTCATTATTCTCCTAAACACCCTGTTCTCAAACACCCTCAGTCTATGTTCCTCCCTTAATGTCAGATACCAAGTTTCACACCCATACAGAACCACAGGCAAAATTATAGTTTTGTATATTCTAATGTTTATGTTTTTGGAAAGCAGACGAGAAGACAAAAGGTTCTAGACTGAATGGTAGCAAGCATTACCCAAGTTCAATCTCCTCTTAATTTCCTCCTGAATCAGGTTTCGATCTGTTATCATTGTTCCCAAATATCTGAACTGTGCCACATTTTCAAAACATCTGTTTCCTATCTTTATGTCATGATTTTGCCCTGCATTTTGGTGATGAGACAGCAACATATACTGAGTTTTCTCTGTGTGTACTTCTAGACCAACCTCTTTAGTTGCGTCAATTAAAGTTTGTTTTTTTTTCTTTATGGTATCTACATTATCACCCAGCAGATTCACATCATCGGCGTAGGCCAACAGCTGAGGTGTCCCGTTTAATTTCAGTCCCACCTGGTTTTCCTGGATCTTCCTAATGGCATATTCTAAGGCAACGTTGAAAAGGAGTGGCGATAAAGCATCCCCTTGTTTTAGACCATTCTGGATAGGAAATTTATCAGACAAATGTTTACCTACACGGACTTTACTATACATTTCGTTTTAACACATTTTAATCAACCTAACTAGTTTCATGGGTATCCCAAACTCTATTAGAATATTGTACAATACTTCCCTCCTAACTGAATCATATGCTTTCTTGAAGTCTATGAATAGCTGATGTACTGTCTCATCGTACTCCCATTTTTTCTCCAATATCTGACGAATGCAAAAGATCTGATCTGTAGTTGATCTGTTACATCAAAACCCACACTGATGATCCCCAATAATTTCATCTACATATGGACTTAACCTTGAAATAAGAATATTGGATAAAATTTTATATGAAGTTAATAGCAGTGATATCCCCTGATAATTACTACAGTCAGTTTTATCACCCTTCTTGTGCACTGGTACAATAATAGACTCCTTCCCCTGATCAGGCAATTTTTCCTTATGCCAAATTGAAGTAATTAGATTGTGGATCTTAGAACATAATATTTCGCCTCCTGCTTGAATAAGTTCTGCTGGAATTTGATCACTACCTGGCAATTTAAACCGTTTCAATTTTGCAATTGCACTTTCAACCTCAAAAGGACTAGGATCAGGTATTAATGGCTCAGCTGTATGGATTTCTGTCTGCCTAACAGCACTGACCCTATGTACATTCAATAACTAGGAGAAGTACAGGGGATGGACAAAAATATGGAAACACCTCATGAAATGCATGCCTGAATTGAAGTGTTTATTTCAGAGATGTTTGTAGATCACGCTGTCCTATCTGCCCAATACCACTACCTGTACAACCTCCGCAACACGTTGCAATTTTCATTTGCTGTCGGGACAGTGTTCTGTGCAATTTTTTGTGCATCATGTCAGAGCTAACAGAATTTGAATGCGGACAAATTGTTGGGGCCCATATGGTGGGTGCTTCCATAACCAAGGTTGCCGAGGTTTTTGGTTTTTCGCGAGGCACGGTATCCAAGATTATGACCGCATACAGGAGGACTGAGAAAAACGCATCTGATAAACACCAGTGTGGACAGAAATGTGTGTTGAGTGATCAAGACAGACGAACATTGCGTAGGATTGTGACGAAAAATAGGAAGACTAGAGCTACAAAAGTGACTGCTGAACTGAATGTCACACTCACAAACCCTGTCAGCACCAGAACAGTATTAAGGGAACTCCACAAGCAGGGTATTTCTGGACAAACTGCAATTCCAAAGCCACTCATCAGTGATCAAAATGCCACTAAGGGAACAGTGTGGTGCCAAAGTCATAAAACCTGGACTATGGAGCAATGGAAGACGGTCATTAGGTCGGATGAGTCCACCTTCACACTGTTTCTGACTTCTGGCCGAGTTTACGTTTGGAGAATGCCATCCCAAGTTTACGATCCAGAGTGTTTGCTGCCAAGAGTGAAACATGGCGAGGGTTTGATCATGGTATGGGCAGCCATATTGTGGTATTCTGTCGGACCCATCATTACCCTGCAAGGTCTCGTCACTGCCAACGACTATGTGACCATTTTGGGCGACCAGGTCCATCCCATGATGCAAACTTTGTTCCCTAATGGTGATGCCATTTACCAAGCCAACAATGCCTGTGTTCACATAGCTCACATCGTCCATAACTGATTTTCTGAGAATGAAGATAAGTGTCACGTCTGCCATGGCCTCCAAAATCGCCAGATATCAATATTATTGAGCCTCTGTAGTCTGTTTTGGAGAGCAATCTGCATGCGCGCTATCCACCTCCATCATCGATAACAGAACTTACCATGTTTTTCAGGAAGAATGGTATAAGATTCCCTTGCAAATCATACAAGACCTCTATTTATCCATTCCAAGGAGACTGCAAGCAGTTCTGCAGGTCAGAGGTTGTCCTACACCATATTAGTCACAGTAATGTGTTTTTTGTCGGGTGTTTCAATATTTTTGTCCATCCCCTGTAGGTCCTCCACCTATTCCACCGAAACCCAATAAGACCCAACAATTCCCTCAAAATTTATGTCCAATTAGCCTCCTGTCCACAAAAGGCAAACTATTCAAGAAAGCCATTCTGAAAATATTCCAAAAGCACACTGAAGAAAGGGGCCTGCTTAACACAGGCCAGTTTGGTTTCCGTGCACATCACAGCACGAGACTGCAACGTATGAGGTTAACGGACTGTGTGATCCTTAATTTCAACAATAAAATGACAATGCCTGCAGTGTTCTTGAACATCAAAAAAGCCTCTGATACTATATGGTATTCCGGCTTGTTATATAAATTGTCAACATTGGAATTTTCAACCAGCTCAATCATGCTTATTGGATCTTTTCTTTCACCATGAAAATTCAGTGTTTCGGTGGAAGGCGAAATATCTATGCCAAGGAAAATGCAAGCAGGGGTCCCACAAGGTTCCATCCTGTCCCCTACTTTTTACAATATGTACATGAATGATGCCCCCCAAACACATGGGGGTTCATCTAGG